CTACAAGTTTATGAGAAAAAAAAAATAGCTACATGTGGGCCTTTTTAATTATTTAATGTTAAATTCAAAAATATATTCAAAATTTGCATTGGTACTATTTAAAAATTATAATTACAGTTAGATATAAGATTTTTTTTGGATTAAAAATGCTACACATTTTATAAGGACCTCGCTAAAGAGAGTATTCCATGCTACCCTCAAATAAAACCCAACAATTTATTAAATGACCATGAAATAAGATTATGCTACCATTCTCCCATAACATAAACTATGTGAATAATTATTGGGGAATTAATGAATTACCGGTAGCTTTTAATTTATAAACAAGTTATTAAAAGCGTATATTTATTTAAAAAAAAAATGAAAATACCGGGAATTGTGATTTCTTTCTTTTTGTTTTACTAGTGTTTACCTGGCCGATTAATGTAAATAAGATGGTATCAACACCCATAATTTTTTCAATCGCCTTTGGGCAGAAAAAATTGATACACAGTCATGTTATTTGGGTATTTGTATCAGTGTGACACATCATTGAACATGCTGGTAAACAATGACCATAATTTCAATTTATTTAATGCGAAAAAAATGTGATAAATAAAATGTGTAAAAATTTCTTTCGAGATTTATTAATTTTGAACATAATCTGAAGCTTCCATTCTGGTGAATTACAGATGTACACTCTAACATTTACAAATAAAACACTTAAAACTGAGCTTTATAGAGCTAGGCATTAACGATAATTAAATTGACATGTCAGTAAAAATAATCATGACTGAAAAATAATACTTGGCAAAATTAACAAAGAATTTTTTTTTAAAGCCCCAATACTTAAAAAAAACTCTTACTTTAGAGTATCCCGATAGTCTAAATAGGCCATATAATGATAAGATCTATTTAAAGCTTAATTTTCGTTATAAAAAATAAATATGTGAACCAGTATCAATCACAGAAGAATTATTAATATACCCAAGCATTGTGGTTAAATATTCATTGTTCAGTGTAATTCATATATGCACATGTAAGTGTGAAAGCTTTCTTCCTCCAATAAATATTTTATTAAATTATTCCAATTTTTATGCGCGTACATGTTCTGTTCATAAATGACCTTCGCGTACATGTAAGGATTCCTGGCATACTACCCAGAATCAATTTCTACTGCCTTTTATAGTCCCATTGTTTATTGGAAATCTCATTTCTGAATTCGCTCCTCCCATTAAATTAATAAACTCCGCCCTATGAGACTGCTGGGACTGCTCTTTGGGACCGCTGAGACTGCTGGGACTGCTGTGGGACTGCTCTAGGACCGCTGTGGGACTGCTTTAGCTGTCCCAAGGACTGCTCTGGGACTGCTTTGTGTCAGATTGGGTCTGGTCGGTACTGTATGTCAATTCTAAATCTCCCTTCAACGACTCATTTTGATAACTTAAGTTTATAGTTCCTTCTGTATACGCAAACTAATAATGAGCTTGTAGAAGGAAAAAAATCGCAAGAAAAGGAAGAACATGAATATAGAGGAAAATTTTGGTTCGCGAATTAAAGTTCCTTTACAGTTGTAATTTATTTAGAATTATTATACTAACAGAGACTCAATTTTGCATAAAAGTTAAACACATAATCAATGGAGTTTTTCAAGCTTTTTGAAAATGCGAAAGAATGGAAAATTTAAAGTAGTCACATGCTGTAACATTTCGTGTATATGATAGTTTTGTTGCAAGTAAACAAAACAACTGAGAGCCTGCAAGTTCAGAATACATGTCACTCAGAGCTTTCATCACACATGAGTGACCAAAGCAGTCCCGGGGACAGCTTGTACTGCTCGGACTTAGAGTCCAAAAAGTTCTTGTCACAAGGAATACACATGTGAAATACTGTAGATTCTTAAATATGCGCGTATAATTAATTATCGCGTAATTTCGTGCGAAGCACTACACGCGAAATAAAATTACTCGCCTTTATTTTTATGGCTTTGAAATCTATGAAAAATCTCTTGATCCACCGTCGATTCGTGATTTATTATTCTCGCGCATTGACGTTGAAGAGCTAATACGCGATAAAAAGTACTCGAAAAGAAAAAAAGTATCTACGGTATGAAGGCCATACCTCTATAGTCTACTTAATCAAAAGTTATGGGTAAGGTTAATAACGTTTTTCGGACAAACAGAGAGACACAGACAGGCAGACAATAAACCTTCGACTTCTGTGAGCCATGTTTCCTGGAGTGACTTAACTGACGTTATTAAAGACAAACAGACAGCTAGACAGACAGATACTTGACAGACAGCTAGACACACAGCTAGTCAGACGGACGAACACGACAAAAACTAAAAGTTTTTCATATATGACTGAAACGTAATAGCAACGTTATAGAACACTCACATTACATGGAATAACCTGATGCCCACTGGAAATTGATTGTGCTAAAGATATATTAAACAGGGCAACGGACACCTGGTAAAACCCTGTAATTGCGTGGACCTTGAGGTCCACGGAGTGAATATATAAGCCAGGTTAAACCGAATGCCAGGGGCAAACGACAGGTTAGGCAAGAGCAAGAATGCTAGAGAGTTCGCCAATTAGGCAAATTGCCCGTAGAATAATTCGCCCTTTTCGAATGAGAGTATACCATTTTTTTTTTTTTAGCAAATCGCGCTTTTAAATCCGCATATCGTATTTATATATTCATTGGCGGATCCGAATTTCATTCTTATACATATACTTTTATATACAAACTAAACATTGATTCTATGGCACAAGCAAAAAAGTAGGGAGAACTTACAGTATATAGAAACATTAACTTAAAAACTTGAATAAAAAAAGTCAGTCAACGATAAGTTTTATCTTTTGAAAGATAGAACAAGTTTTCACCGGCATAAGTTTTGTGGATTAAGGCTTGCAAAATAATATGATATTTCCCCAATCCAAATACCGTTTGATAGAAGTTGTGGTGGGGGTTGGGGGTCGGGCTTTGACAAAAAAATCTGTGTACTTCAGAGCTATGCTAAACATGTACCGTCAGATCTATTTTCCCATGATAGTATATCAATCCGGAACAGGTGTCAAGTCCCAGCCATTATAGGTTACATGTATCAAATTAGCCCGTTCTTTTTTAAACCGGAAAAACAAAAGGTTAGTCGGAAGTAAAATTTAACAATTTTGCGTTGAGACTACAATCAGTCATAAGTACATGTAACGCCGTATCTAGCATCGATAAGTCTGCATAAAGAGGTTGTGGTCTAATTACTGGTTTATGTGGGAAATGGTTACTCTGACGCTCAAAAATTGTTATTCATCATAATACCATAAAATTAAATATTTAACAACTTAAAACTATTGTAGCAAGATAAACAACAAGAAACATACCAATGCATTAAAAATAGTTGCTAGTTAAGTCCTACACAGCATGCACGTTATTAACAAATCACTGATCCAAACTAACTTGTAGACATGAAGTCATTTTGGTAATGACGATATATATATTTAATGTGCTGTGAAAGGCACTTCAAGAAATTTCTTTTACAGTGAAAGATATTTCGAGTCCTATTTCATCATGATTCCGTCCGGATTCCGTCTAACAGTCTTACTGAGTTCTTTATAGATGAAAGGTGGACTCTGTCTTTTGATTTCCGCCTGAAGTCAGAGCAGACATTTTCACATAGGTTACCCTACTTGGTTTATCCAATATATTACACCCCCGAGAAAGGGTTAGGAAACAAGAGGATAAAGTTTTGCAAAAGAATACAATAGAAATGTCTTTACAATTCTCTCCACTCAAATCAACAAAGCAAAAATAAGTCATATTAATAAAGCGGCATCTTCAGATAATGTAGATTTGAAAACTGTACAATTACATTTTTTTCGGGTGCTTTATTGTCGTGTTTTCGAGGTTTGAATAGACAAACGACTTTAAGACCACCACGAAATGTATATTATTACAAACATAATTATTTACATTTCCTTATCTTTGAAATCACCCCCCCCCCAAAAAAAGTATTCTGTTTCGAGAAAACATGAAAATAGAACCCCTTTTCTTTTCAGTAGCTAATAGTCGTCCCCAAATAAATGTTAAGGTGAGTTTAAAAAAAAAAAGAAGAATTAGTTTCAATGCAATCATTTATGTAGGAGGCAAAGATAATCTATTCAAATTGGGGCTGGTCCAAAATTTCGAAAAATGGGTTCGTATGAAATTCAAACTAAAATATCTTTGATAATTATTTATGTACGTGAAGATATAATGTCGTACACTGTTTGAAAGCATTTTCGTCTAAGGAGCAAATATACAGATTTAAAAAAAAATACATAGTAAATTTTTTTTTATCTATTTTCAAAGGTATTTTTAGAAGCGATCCCCCTGAATGGAAAATATACCATTCCAAGCAGAGTGGTGTATACATTTTTTAAATAATTACTTGTATTTTTATCTTTTGTCGGATATTATCATTATTTTATCAAAATTTATTTTTCTTTGACTACCTTTAACAGATAATAAAAAGTCATAAAAATTTGTAAACTTTTCTTAATTCAAAACAGATATTAAGTATGTTGGACATATTCTTCATTAAATTAAAATGAGAGAATTTCCCCCATTTTGTAGAAAAATCTATAGCTTGAAAATAAAAACATATATATATATATATATATTATGCGTTTTTTTAATTTTTGCTTCAATAATGCTTATTTAATTAATTTTATTCTTACAATAAAAAAAATTATGATTTTTATTATCAATACCCAAATATATTTGAAAAAAGTCAAGGATATTACTACGAACTTGCAATTGAAAGGATATACATGTATTGCCGTCTGTGTAATTGGTGAGTAATGTCGGATCCTAGTATATTATTACTTCATATAAATACCGAAGTATACAAAATGTACAAACTGAAAAGTGATTTTAAAGTAAACTAAAAGCAGAAAAGTACGTTTTTAATTTGCCATATAATAATTTTGTAATTCCTGTTTGATTGTTCTCGTATATCGTTAAATAAAACAAGTAAGGGCTTACGTAATAAAAGAAAAATAAATTTATATACAAAAAGGCTCATCGTTCTCATCCAAAAGAATGTCTTCTTCGTCGTTAACTTCTGTAATGAATTTAATGAAAATATTGAGAAAATGTTGAAATCAATTCTCTGATTCTTAAATGATACAAGATTGTTGTAAACTGGTAAAGACGTCGTTACACACACTTTATTATTTTCATATGTAAAGTCTGAACATGTATATGCAATGTTTTATTTTTTTATACTTTATACACGTAACTGATCTCAATATTGAAAGTGACAATATACGATTATATTGATATTTTCATTTGTGAATTTAGACTGTTTAATTCAGGAAATAATGCTAGATATGATTGCATGTACAAGTCTTCTTTCTTTAATGTTATACAAATTTTTCGTCGGAAAATTTTTTTTATCACAAAATTGTATCAATACACACACACACAGACACACAGAGAGAGAGAGAGAGAGAGAGAGAGAGAGAGAGAGAGAGAGAGAGAGAGAGAGAGAGAGAGATTCATCCTCACGCTCTCGATATTTTTATCAATTGGTTTCAAAAGATTTAAACTTGCATGTTTAGCAATTGATTGATTGATGGTATATTGTTTAACGTTTCTCTTAAGAATATTTCACTCATATGGAGACGTCACAGTGTACCGGTGAAGGGCTTCAAAATTTGACCTATACTCGGCACTCAGGGCCATTGAGCAGTGAAAAATTTATATATGCCATTAATAAAAAAAAAATATTAAAAAGCATCTAAAGTGGCGGAATTTATTAAATATAGCATGACAAGCAATCGTTTTCTTGCTGACTGAATATGGCTACATATATATGGACAAGTTTCTTGGCTATTTACTACACAAGATAGGAAAATATATTAAATTCTTTACATTAAATGATATGAAGGGACAACTGTTCTAGTGGAAGTTATTTTCAAATAGTTGCAGTTTTATTTTATGAGGCAAAAACTTTTAAGGGCTACTAATTCCTAATTTAAGAGATCAGTTCCTTTTTTGTGGTTTTAATGAAATCTAAGTGAAATTAAATACCTGTACAACTCTTACTCTTCATCTATTAACATAATATTTCAGATATCCATACTTCAGCAAAGTCTATTTAGGCAAGTTCAAGGTTACTTATTTAAAAGTTAGAAATTCAAAATGGTCGGCAATTTTGTAATAGAAATACATAGTATGTATGTCCATTTTATTGAAAGATGATCAATGTATCATGCTGTCTGTAATGGCATTTAGCTCTACTCTAGATCTTAGTGATTTCGTTTGAAGAAAAATATAGGAATAATTTAAAGATCAACCGGTTACCCCTGCCGTGAGCGCCTTGTCATGATCAGAAAATAACGGAAAATATTCGTCGTCAATTCAGTGCATAAAAAATTGAATAACAATTAGTATGAAAAACGTCAGTCAGCATTTGACTTGATGATAAATTGTATTTGCTGACAAGGTCATTGCATCGACCATAGAACATACGAAATGATGACTTTAAAAGAGACATTGCTGATATTTTTGTTTCATCAACTTGCTTGTCAATAATTTACCTCATTTTAGAAATTTTCATACGTAGAGCATGTTCTTGGGTACCGAATCAACTGAGATATATATACTCCGTATGCAGGTGATGAAGGTATATTGCTGCATAAGTAAGGGAAGTTGACGATAGAAAAGTAAAAGTCATCACTTTTATCATACAGCTTGGTTGTTAGATTACCATTTGTGTCTTTTTTAAGTAATATATCCAAGTATGAAACAGATGTGTCATACTCTGTGGTATCTTTTATCTCGATGCTCAACTTTATTTGTGTATAAAATATATTGCAGCATTTTACCAACCTTTTTTATTCTTTCTCTGTATTTTTGTCCATCTCATAATTATGAAAACAAGTATTCCAATGGAAAAATAAATTGTACCTGTCACTGCCACTAATCTAAAAAAAGCAATCAATCAATTTGTTTAGTACGTAAATTGAAATACCAAGAAAAGATGTCAGATGTTTTAAGTTGAACTTACATATACACACTAGTATGCAGTTTCGAGTCATCCTCGGGTACCGTTGTCACTCTTTTATAAGTTGTTGATGTGAGATTGGCTGATTCGCAAGGTTTATCTAAAAATGTAATACATTAAACATCATTGATCAGGAATAATATTTTATTTCTACAAATAAGAGCATTGAAATTACATCACTATTACTCACACAAGTGTGCTTCTGATGATAGAAATCTGTGAGGACATGTAGAAGACTGGCTACAATTTATACTTTCATTTATTTGAAGTTCCGTGTTGTTATAAAGCACACATACGCCTGTAATAGAAATGAAATGACTTTTGAGCTGAAAAAGACCTAAAATATTTTTACTTAAATCAACCTTTCAACTAAAATTAGTTTTTTTTTTTTTGCTTTGTTGTTTCTTTGTTTATTAACGTCCCTATATAACAAATTTTTATTTAATGACGATGTTGTCGTTAAAAGAAATGAATTATACCTATAGAAAATAAAAGGATCGTAGACAAATTTCCGTTATGATCACTAAGATTTGTTGACGTTATTCACAAACTCCAATATCATCTCTTTTTTGGAAATTATTCAATTTGATCGCGAACTTTTACTTTATTATTTTGTGGGAAATTCGAACATTATAAATGTACCAATTGTGTTCTGAAACCCGTAATGCATGGTTTAAACTTTATCACCGCACCTTTGGGTGATAGTTTTAAAAGAATAAATATTTCTGTAGTATCTTTTTTTTAAAATCCGTACTAATGCAAAAAAATATGTGATTTGTGTTTGTAAACTAAGGACCTAAACTACATCAAGAAAATTGAGATCTATACATAATTTTAACCTTTGACATTGTGCCTCAAAATCAACGAGCGTCTTTTTTAGGCCAATGGGAGTTGCTGTGTAAAATTTCATTTCAAAAGGTTCCGGAGATACTTGTTACATTGTGCCTTAATTTATTTCGGTCAGGAAAAAATCTCCTCGATGCATCTACGCTGCTTGTACTCTCAAGGCGCTCCGACTACGCTCATTTTAAGAATTAACCCCGAATCTTGTTTGCCACCACCCGCTAATAAAAATAAGCTTGTTTTGAACATTCCAAAATAGGCGTGACTAGAGCGTCGTGTTTTCCAACCGTAAAGATCCTACAGCGATCATGCTTCGTTTATGAAGACTCAACAACGTTTCTCCCGCGATTTTTCACGATCAGCTACGTTTTCAGCCATACTTTGATCGAAGTAGAAGTGGTGCCTATGTTTAAACTATATTTTTTTCAATGAAATGAATGGTTTTCATAGCTTAAATTATTTTCAAAATTTGATTTAGCCTTCCAGAAAATACGTATTGTATTGTATTTTTAAATTATTATGAAGTTCAAGTTGATTGCATTATTTTCTTTTTTTGTTAACATTCGTAATTTTATTATTTGAATTCTACATTTACGAGGGGTGATCAAAAAGCTCGCGAACTACTTCTAAATTTACAAAACCAAAATTTAGATCAAAATGAAATTTGACACAGATAAATTCATAAACATGTTCATTAAAAAAGCATATGTAATGGAACATTTTTCCCGTGTTTGCGACGTTTCAATTTGTAAATGACGTCATAAGGTAGATCACTTCTGACAAAAATGGTTAACTCAGTCGTATTCGAGAAACGAACAGCTATAAAGTTAAATGCATATCTTGAAAATTCCTTTGTAGAAGTTTATAATAATTTGTATACGGTTTATTGAGATAACAGACTTTCCAGACGTATTATCATTAATTTAGATTGATTGATTAAGTAAAGGAATGGAGACATTCAAAAATAATATTTGTTCTGTTGTTCAGTAAATGCAAACTGGGAGAGAGGCGTGTCATTTGTTAAGCGATTTTATAAGAAAGATTGCCAACTTACAGTTAGAGAAATAGATGAATATCTCTACATCAATTTATGATTATCAAATTAATATTTAAAAGATCGCTTACTTTAGAATTTAAACATATCAGATATGATCAAGTGAAGGCGCCCAAAATTTATCCACATGAAATAAATGACGCTCAAAAGACAGAAGACTTGGGTTTTGATAGTTACCATGCTCAATCTGCAAAAAACTATCATAATTTACCCATACTATCGTTGAGATTACGGCAATTTCTGACAAATGGGCTGTATTTGTTAGAAAAAATAACTACCATGGGCAGAAATATAAGGGTCTGAAAAAATTAAAGCTTCTGTGACAGAAGGCTATAGAGGATGTAACGTGACCGCCAATATCACGTGATCTGCGCATGGACAGAATGGTTGCAAATGTGCATTGAACTCGGAGAGTACGTCGTTGAAACTTTTTTAACACTGAAACCCTATTTCATATCTTTTTTTTTTGAAAGTTATTCAATTAGTTCGCGAACTTTTTGATCACCCCTCGTACAAGTAAGATTACCATGAAATACGACGAAAACAAGCAGAATTCATGCTCATATTAAACGCCATTTCTACATAGTGGTATATTTTTCTCTAAACTTATTTACTGAATGCAATCTAAAAGAGAAAAAAGTTAGCAATTTATGTCTCTCTCTACCATCACATATTCATTTCTATACTTACCATAAATGTATGTTTCAGCAGCACACACTTCCACTAGATTTCCAGAAAGATCAGTAGGAAGACAGTGATACTTGAATTTCGATGAATTTGTACAAGTCTGCTCTTGTGCAAGCCTATAACAAGCTTTTGTTTGTGCTCTTATTTTGGTACTTTCTTCGCTTTCTGGACATTGTATAACAATTGTTTCTGTCCTGGCAGACAAAGGACAGCGCTGAGCAGCTGAGGTAGTGAGCTACAAAATTTCAACCATATTCTTGTGAAATAGATCGAAATTTAAACTTAATGAACTATCTCTAAGATAACGTTTAATCATCAAGCAGTCAATGTAACGAAAATTCTTATAAAGTAATACTTACAGTAATGATAAGCAGGCATAGCTGAACAATACATTCCATGTCACAGTTTGAATATCACTGCATCTGGAAAAATTAATAACCGTCACAGTTGCTTGAAATTAAGTCTACAAGCATACTTTTGAAATGCATTTACCCTACGAAAAATGTGGATATCTCGAAAGATTTTTACTGTATTCGTATGTTAAACAAACCTAGATCTTTGGTTGCATTGTTCGTACATGCAAGATTTAGACCTCTCAAGACTGACCTTAATATAATATAATATCAGAAAATTAATTTCAGGAAGTTGCAAGCGAAAAAAAATATGTTGATGTGACTGACATATAAAATATTCAAGTTGTCGGGGATGTTTGGATTATATTAATTAGCTATAGGTATATCTTTTAAAAATGAAAATAAGTAACATTAATTGTGCTAAATGTTTAGTAAACCAAAAGTTTCCATTTTAATATTGGAAAGTTTCTGTGAAGAGGTTTTGTAGATTTTTTTTTACCAATCATTCTCTATCTATGCATGTAAGTGTTTTCTTAAGTGATTGTAATCCAGAGCAAGAACCCATGGGCTTGAACCTACACTAACTATGGATGCTTGCATATTTCTTTGACTAACTGTGGCTTTTCTGTCCTTTACATTTGAACAAACATTGTGTGGCCCCGCCCTCCCCAGGGATCATGACTTAAACAGACTTGAATCTACAATACATGATAATGCTTCCATATGAATATGATTTGTCATGACTTTACCATTCTTGAAAAGATTTTTTAAAATCTATATATTTCTACGTAAAACTTAGATTCTTTGCTGTGGCTCCGCCCCTACCCCAAGGGGTCATGATTTGGACAAACTTGAATCTACACTACCTAAGGTCATCAAGCTTCCATATAAATATGACCATTCATGCCTTTGTTATTATTTAGAATATTTTAAAAGATTTTTATATATTTATATGAAAAACTTTGATCTGCCCATATTGTGGTCCTACCCTACCCCTGTGGGTCATGTTTTGAACAAATTTTAATCTTCGCTCCTGGAGAGGCTTCCACTTAATGTCTATTTTTCTTGAAAAAAAAAACATTTTGAAAGAATTCCCCTATAAATTTCTAGGTAAAACTCTGATCAGCCATTGTGTTCCTACCCTATCTCCCGGGGTCATAATTTTTTCACAAACCGGAATCTATAACACCTGAGGATGCTTCATATAAATAATTTACCATTCATGCCTTTGTTATTCTTGAGAAGACAATTTTAAAGACGTTTCAAATATATTTCTATGTAAAATTTTAAAAAGTCATTTTGGCCCTATACAGTACCCGCATCGTTATTCTTTACAGGATACACGATACGATAGGATACACGCACGATACGATAGGATACACGCACGATACGATGGAGTACACGCACGACAGGACAGGATACACGCACAATCAGGATAAACGGAAAACACGATAAACGCAAAACACGATAAACGCAAAACACGATAGACCTGATAAACGGTTTTCACGATAGGATACACGCAAAACACGATAGGATTGTTATAAAATACAGAACGTTTTATGACTGAAACAATAAATTTCCATTTAACATAATTTAGTTTAATTTTCGACTAATATAGATCTAAATATAAACTATTTACGTACAATTAATCAGTTTTTAATTCCTGGTAAATAATCGTATCATTAATTATGTTTCCAGATTGCCCGTCCTAACTCTAAATTACAGATAGTGTAATTACCGACGTCGGTTTGTTTTAAAAAAATAAATAGATTAATTTATAAATGCTTTGAAAATAGCATTACAAACACAAGACATTTTGAAAAGGAAAAGGCAGCAGACACTTTTAAAGCAGTCAATACAGAAGAACACGTAAGTTGATTTCACGATTTATATATAAATATTTTTTTTTTTACACATTTTTTTTTTACTTGGTTTTCAATATATCAATTATAATAAGTTGTATTCAAATGTATTGAATATGAACCAGGGACGTACATCGGGGGGGGCCCACTTTGCCCCCAACATGACATGTACTACAGTAAATGTTCATTCATAGGATGGTTGGCCCCCCACTTTATAACCATAATGATAGTATAGTGATAGGAAGGATTTTAAGGAAAAGTTAGAAGTGATATTAAATTGGCTTTGAAAAAGGTGGCCACCCCCCCCCCCCCCCCCCCCCCCCCCCCCCCCCCCGCACGAGTTTCAATTTTAAATTTTCGTTTTTTTTTTTTTTTGTTTTTTTTTGCTTGTCAACTTTTTCAGGTGAGTGAAAAAAAATTTCTCAGGTTGGCCCCCCCCCCCACTTTCAAAAACGATGCTACGTGCCTGTGAACTTTATCTGTTTCTAATGGTATTACATGTAGAAATTGTTTTCCCAAAAGATACTTAATAATCAATAAAATTAAGATTTTTAGGAACTGAATTTTATTAAAATCCCAGACTAAGATGCAGGGGCCCGGGTAGCCCTGAAATGATTAAGTACCCCTGGCGATAACCACTACGTGAAAGGGTAAAAGGGGGCAGTATGTAGATGGTAAATACACAGGTGGAAGTGGCAGGTAGACAGGTAGACGGTGTACTGGTAGGAAACATTGGTGTCACCCTTCTTCAGTATGGCTTCCTGTGTTCGTATGGTACACAACTACTCTTATAAGTAGAGGCGTTGTCAACTGTCTTACTTATTATAAAGAGTTCCTTTCTCGGCTTGACAAGTAAGTTTATCATGTTCATATATCTATTAGTATACATAGCGTGTTATTTTAAAAGTAAATTTTCAATCTAAACTAGGAACCAAATAAAGGTAAAAAAAAAAATTCGACATCATTTGAATTTAATTTGGTCTAAAAGGTATGAAGCACAATAACTCATTCAGCATTTGGATAATTTTAAATTACTTAAGAAAATTTAAGTACTACATTGTCGTAGTGAAATCATAAACACCACCCAAATACCCCCCCCCCCCCCTTCTCAACAAAGAAGAAGAAAAACCGACAGATTTGAACAATTAAAAAATCAATATAAATATCGTGAAGCCTTAAAAGAGGACAAAATTTCTTATGTGTTATCATGGTGAATTAGTTTATCAATGTATATTTCAAAAATAAAACTACATGTACAAGTGGATCGAATATTTTCATGTCCAAATTCCCATTTTTTTAAAACTTAGTTTCACTTTCGGTTTACGCTACTTGTGCTTCTTTACTTGCATGACCATGAAGAGTGACAGGTTTGTCGGTTTATCAGTATTCGTTTATGTTTTTTCATTGAAAATGTTCTATTTTCAAAGTACAAAGACGTCAGTACATGTTTCTAGTTATATGAAGAGTATTCTAACTGTGTCTCGGGACAAGTCAATACCACAAGCCGGGTCGTAGGACTAGTGTAGGAGCGTTTTTTTCCCTACATGAATGTGTAATTACTGGTACTGATGAAACAGAGTACGCTAGAGTACGATAGAGTACTTTAGAGTACGCTAGAAAAATTATGTTATTTAATGCAATTAAAGTGTTTATTTATGTATGCACAACTTGAAAACATTATTATAGACTTATATTGCAATATTTGTTTCAAATATTTGTTTTAGTGATATTTTGACAAGAAAACAACATCCATAATTGAACGCATCTTAAAAAGATTACAATACCCCAATTTCGATTACTATTTTGTTTCAGACTTACTTACTAAAGATTTACATCCAAATTTTATCAAATATTAAATCAATTGCATGTGTGAATATTTTACAAATTCACAATGAGACATTTCAACAACGTTCAAGTTAAATTAGATCGCGATCAAACGATAAACCGTAAACTGAAATCAAAAATTGAAATAACTCCTGAAATAAAGAAAACATACAAATTTTATTTAAAATATATATTCAATATGTTAAAATAAAGTAGAAAAGTAGGCACAGAATCAATATTCAGATCCGGGGCGGAGGTGCGCATGCTCGACATGTAGACGTAAGTTTTTATCGAGAGCAAAGTGTAGTCCAAAAACCTCGAATTTAATTAATTTCAAGATCTTGAAAAATGCATTGCTGATATTCAAAGATGTTTTAAAGTGTGTTGAAGTGTGTTTTAACCAAAAAAAATGCAATAGAAGCGAGGAACGAGAAGGTAAACAAAATCTGTAAACATATCTGTTTGTGAACACTAGTGAGCGATACTCATACGTTCCACTGTTACATTGTGAAATATGGCTAGTCAATTGACCCAGTCTAAAAAGAGAGCGCTCGATGATATGGACACTAACACCATTAACACCAGTACTAGTGATGAAGAAATTTCAAAGGAATGTGAAAATTTTCAGATGAGAGATGTCATGCACGGTATAACTAATATACAAAATACTCTTGCAAACCTTCTACTAAGGATTGATGGACAAGGTCGCCATCTAGACGAAGTTACCAAGGACATTAGAGGAAAACATGGCATTCAGGAGAGATTAGAAAACGTACAAGAACAGGCGAACGATACGATATATATAACCACTGAACTGCAGGAAAAACAGAAGAAGATGGAAAGAGAACTTAGCCGAATGAAAGATTACATAGTTCGACTGGAGTATTGTGTAAAGATTCAAAGTTGAACAGATTCTAGAGCTAAGATCTAGAGCAATTGAAGACAATATCATTGTGAGTGGAGTAGACGAAAAGGCGCCCGAAATAAAAAATCCTGAAAACCTTGTGAAGATCATTAGTAATGTGTTTGCAGTAGAGATGGAGATACCGGCAGAGACTGTTGATAGCCTACAGATATATAAAGTGTTCCGAATGGGGGAATATACGACAAACATAGGAAATATCCTCGGCCAGTCTGTGTCCAGTTTGTAAATAAATCACATAAGGACATTGTGATGAGACACATTAAAATTCTCAAGGATAAGAAGTCCCCAATAAGAGTGTCTCAACACCAACCTGAAGAAGTCCGTGAAAAAAGGAAGCATTGATATGATGAAATATGCGGACCGTAACATAGAAACGGTGCTAAAAGGTCAGAAGCTCATTTTCACGCAGAGCAAGACGGTGTACAGGGAAAAAATTGGTAGCAGACCAATGGCCGATGAGATCATCAGTGGAGAAGAGGTAAAGATCGCGATCAGTACGGGGAAGACAACAGAAGACAATGGAAACCGGTTTGCTGCCCACGCAACGCCAGTAGATTCCTATAAACAGGTGAGACGATCGCTTGTGGAAGTTATGCGGACAGATAACACTACCAGTGCAAGTCATAACATTTATGCGTTTCGGTTCACCAGTAACGACGGCACGATACACGAGGGATCGGAAGATGACGGCGAGCACGGAGCCGGGAGAATGCTACTAAAGACACTGACTGATAATGACATAAATAACGCACTAGTGGTCGTTTCGCGGTGGTGTGGTAGTAAGATCGGTCCTAGACGGTTCACGCACATCACAGAGGTTGGGATGAGTGCGGCGAGAAATATGCCGGTTCCCGTCTGACGCTTCAAAATGTAAATTATGAAAAGTCACTAGCAAAAAATACAAACTTACAGTAAATAACTTTTTCAATTAGTTAGTATTTGTGTACTTTCATCGAATTTGACTATTACGGTAATTCTGCATAAACTAAAATATTTATTCTAGTGGTTTAGTGGTTTTCGATATGACTATATTCATGCTGCACATGATATCTGGATTAATTATAAATTATGTTTAGGTTTTGATACTTTCCGGAATTTGCAAGTGTATACGTCACTATTTTTGTGTTTTTTCAAAGACTCAATTTCCGGTATAGATATCGTACAGCATGGATCGTGTAAACTTGTAAGTTTTTGATCAATTTCTATTCTATCACTCAACTCAGAGAGGAGTCTGTGTGCATAATTTCAATTTTAATACAGTGCAAAGTGCGACATTTTGATATGGATAAATTTTTGTTGTAATTACATTTCAGATATATTTCTTTAATAGAAAAAAAAACAAACATGGTAACTACAACAAATTGTAATTAGAAAAAAGGAACTGAATAGGAAAGAAATTGAGTATATAGAGTTCCTCTCAACTGAAATTAATTTTGTATATTTTTAACATTTTCATTTCAAATATAAACTTAAAGTTAGGTTTTTTGGGTCTAGTTTTGCACATTTTCAAAATGACAGCAGGTGTGTCTCGAGCTTAAAAACTACTGTTCTGTAGTGTATATAGATTTTTACTTTTTTTATCAACTCTTTTTTCTTGCTGTTGGGGAACAGTAAACTTTTTTATGCATTTGCTGTGGAATGGATGACTATCCATGTGAAAATTTCCTACAAATACTTACATTAAATTGCCAAGGTTTAGGGGACATGAATAAAAGGAGGGATGTCTTTAAAATTTTAAAAAGAAAAAAAATTAAATGTTTATTTCCTTCGAGACACACACTTTGTCACAAAAGATGAAAGCATGATAAAAGCATTATGGGGATATAAGGCTTTTTTTAGTTCATACAAATCAAACTCACGGGGAGTTGCTACACTTATCAATAATAACTGTGACTTGACATTGATTAATGAATATAAAGATGACAATGGCAATTATCTTATTCTAGATGTAGTAATAGACAATCTTCCTTTTTGTTAGTGAATATATATGGACCAAATCAGGATACACCAGCCTTCTATACAAAGATTTTAAATATGATACAAGAATATTACTCATCACAATATATGATTATAGGTGGTGACTTTAATTTAATTTTAGATAAGGATTTGGATTCAATGAACTATAAAAACCTAAATAACCCTAAATCAAGAATGGAAGTATTAAAGATGATAGAGATACTAAATTTAAAAGATATTTTTCGTGAAAACAATCCAAATTTAAAAAGATTCACTTGGAGAAAGAAAAATCCAATAAAACAGGCAAGACTTGATTATTTCCTAATATCAGAATCGTTACTAAATTTGGCCCCTTATGTAAAATTTGAAAATAGTTATCGTTCAGATCACTGTCCAGTTGTAATGGGTGTTAAAACAAATGAATTTCTGAAAGGAAGAGGGTTTTGGAAATTAAATAACTCTTTATTAGCAGATAAAGAATATGTAAATTTGATAAAAGAAAAAATTAAAAATATTAAATTACAATACGCCTGTCCTATCTACAATTTTAATAACATTGACTCTATTGAAAATGATAAAATTCAATTTATGCTAAGTGATCAATTATTTCTAGATACATTATTGATGGAAATAAGAGGAAAATCAATTTCTTATTCAACTTTTAAGAAAAAGAAAATAACTGAAAAAGAATTGCAACTAGAAAAAGAAATCTTTATACTGGAACAGAATTTGTTGCAAGAACATGCTGAAGAATTAGAAAAAAAACATGAAGAATTAGAGAATATTAGAAAAATAAAATTTAAAGGCCAATGTATTAGAGCAAAAGTGAAATGGATAGAAGAGGGAGAAAAACCTTCAAAATATTTTACCAGCCTTGAGTCTAGAAACTATCAGAGTAAAGTTATACCTAAAATTGAAAAGGAAGATGGAACTATAATTACTGACCAATTTGATATTTTGAATGAAGTTAAGCTGTTCTATTGAAGTGTAATATACTCTGTTTACAAGATACTCATTTTACTATAGATATGGAGGAAGATATAAGGAATGAATGGGGATATGATGTATATTTTAGTTCTTTCTCGTCTCAGTCCAGAGGTATAGCAATTTTTTTAAATAATAATTTTGAATATAAAGTTCACAACAATGTGAAAGATAACTCAGGTAATTTTTTAGCACTTGATATTAGCCTTGGGGATGTACGTACAAGTCTTATTGCCATTTATGGTCCAAATGACGATGATCCTGGGTTTTATAATATGGTTTCAGAATCAATAGATAATATGAACAATGATCATGTTATTTTAGTTGGGGACTTTAATTTAGTTATTAACCCAGATAAGGACTATCATAATTATCTTCATACTAATAATTCGAAAGCAAGAGAAAGGCTATTAGAAGTTATTTCTGGCCAAAATTTGTCAGATGTATTCAGAGAAATTCACCCAGAAAAACAAAGATATACTTGGCACAAGCCTCATCCATTTAAACAAGCAAGGAGAATATAAGAAATCATAGATTAATGGGAAACATAGTGAGATCAAGAGCTAAATGGACAGATGAAGGAGAGAAACCTACAAACTACTTTTTGAATTTAGAAAACAGACATTATACAAATAAAATAATTCCTAAATTAATTAAAGATGAAGAAACTCTGGAAGAAATAACGGATCAAAATGAAATTTTAAAATAAATAGAAAGTTTCTATAAGAATCTTTATAAGGCAAATGATGAAAAGCAAGAGAGACTATGATTTAAATGAAATTTTATCAGACACAGACATTAAAAAGTTGAATGATATTCAAAGAGTCTCATTAGAGGAACCTGACACCGAAGCAACATCTGTTCTAACTAATATGTCAAATAATAAAAGCCCCGGGGGCGAAATAGCTTTACTACAGAATTTTATAAAGTTTTTTGGAACAAAATTGGACATTTTGTGGTTAGGTCCTTAAATTTTGGATACAGTAGCGGTCAATTTTCGGTAACACAGAAACAAGGTATTATCACCTGTATTCCAAAAGAGGGAAGAAGTAAATTTTCTTGAAAAATTGGAGACCAATAACACTTTTAAATGTAGCTTATAAAATAGGTTCTGGGTGTATTGCTCAAAGAATAAAAACTGTTCTCGAACAATAATTAGTTCAGATCAAACAGGCTTTATACCGGGTAGATATATTGGTGAGAATACAAGATTAAAATAACTGATTTAATGCAATACACAGAGGAACATGACATCCCAGGGGTTTTACTGTTGATAGATTTTGAGAAAGCATTTGACACAGTGTCTTGGAAATTCATACATAAATGTCTAGATTTTTTCAATTTTGGTCCATCCATTCATTCCTGGATATCTACTTTTCAAAGTAATATAGAATCATCTGTTACACAAGCAGGATACCTCTCCGACTTTTTTAAACCTAGCCGAGGCTGTCGCCAAGGTGACCCAATTTCTCCTTATTTGTTTTTATTATGTGCAGAGTTTCTTGCTCTCAAAATAAAAAATAACAAAAATATAAAAGGTATTAAGATAAATGAAATAGAATATTTTAATGTCTCAGTATGCTGATGATACTGCAGTAATACTAGATGGGTCTGAAAAATCCCTGAGAGCCACTATTGAGGAATTGAATCATTTTAACGCACTCTCTGGCCTAAAAATTAATCTATCAAAAACACAATTAGTTTGGATAGGTAGCAAGAAATACTCAAATGAAAAATTATGTAATGAAATGAATTTTCATTGGACAACCAGCTTTAAAATTTTAGGCATTCATTTTGATGTTGACCTGACTAATATTCCCAAACTTAATTATGACAAAAAGCTGGTAAAAATCAAAAGTATTATTAATCAGTGGAACAAAAGGCATACCACTCCTATTGGCAGGGTTACGCTGATAAAAGTCTCCACTTATCTCACAAATGAACCACCTTTTTATCTCGCTACCAACACCATCAAGCAAATTTGTAAAAGATTTGAACAGTATTTTGTTTAATTTCCTATGGAAATCTAAGGTGGATAAAATTAAAAGAAAACAAATTACTCAAGACTATCCAAATGGAGGTCTGAAAATGATTGAAATTAATAACTATATCAAAGGTCTATATTATTATGGATTAAAAGATTACTGAACAGTCAAAATTCAAAATGGGAAAACTTTATTAATGAAACTGTAAACTTTGACAAAATGTTCAAAACTGGATCAGATTACATCAATGATATATTACACCATTTAAGAAACCCTTTTTGGAAAGATACATTTATTGCTTTTCAGATATTCAAGATAAAATGAAGATAAAAACATGGCAAGAATTTGTAACTCAACCAATTTGGTTGAATAATAAAATTAAAATTGGAAAAAAGCCCATTTTCTATACTGAATGGTATAATAAGAATATTATATATATCAATGATCTGCTTGATGAGAATGGAACTTTTTTGAGTTTACGAGATCTCCAGAAAAAGTTTAACATTAAAACTAATTTTCTTACATATTATGGTATACAAAATTCTATTTCAAACAGTCTAAAAAATGAGGATATTGTTAAAGAAAAAAATAACCCTAGACCAATTATACCATTTTACATAAGATTATTTTGTTCATCCAAAAAAGGTACTAAAATTATGTATGACACACTAAATACAGAGGAAAATGTCACATCTTTTTACAAATCAAAATGGGGAAGATATTTCACTTTATCTAAGTTACAATGGAAAGCAATTTTTCAGTTACCTTTTATCAGTACTAAAAGTACAAAACTACAATGGTTACAATATAGAATTAACCATCATATCTTAACTACTAATGTATTTTTGTTTAAAGTTGGGATGAAAGATAGTAAAATGTGTAATTTCTGTAATTCAGATGAAGAAACAATTTATCATATATTGTGGGAATGTCCCTGTGTTCAAGATCTCATCAATTTATTTTTTGAATTTTGTCAGACAAGGGATATTGTTATTCCAAGGGATCCTTGTTCTTTTATTTTGGGATTAGATCTTAATTCAAGTTGTAAATTTGTACCAGATATTTCTAATTCTCAAATCCTATATATACAAAAAGCGGTGTCTTAATGAAAAATTATCAATTCATGGACTACTTATAGATATCAAAACTTATCTTTCAACTTTGAAGTATATAGCTACCAAAAACTGTAAACTTGAAGATTTTCATAAAGAATGGGAAATTTGGCTTTTTATAATGAGAAGGCTCTGACAATTTTGCTCGATTTTAGAATCAACAACTGTGTCTCAGATCAAATAAATGTTTATACTGACAAGGTTTTTCCCCTTATTTGTTAATAAGCAGCTTCTCTCCTCACTCTCTCTTTCTTTTCCTTTCTTTCCTCTCAATCAGCAATCCTAAGATTTTTGCTTTATTGCACTGTATATATAAAATAATTGCTGATTTGTTGTTGCACTTTATTGTACATGCATTTGTGAA